AACATTGTGTGCCATCCAACAAAATGCTAATTCAAGTAATCAGTGAGACAGACATACGTACACTCAAAGCGCTTTTTTTTAAATTAAATATGGAAACAGATGATTTTTTCCCCCAATAATTCTATTTTCCAAAGTGAATCCGAACAGAAGTGATGGTATAGTTTTTTTAAAAAAAAAGCAGGTACCACTTGTAGAGTTAAAATAACGTAGTGTTTTTCTGACCTCAAAATTAAGATATACCTGAATGCATCAAAATTGCAAGCTGAAGTACAAGACAACAGCCCTTTTACAGGATGAAAGTAATCAAATGGTAGTTTAGCTGCAACTGCTCTTATGAAGTCATGTAAGCCTATTAGTTTGCATAGAATGTGCCGCTGCTATTCAGTTAGTCAGGCATCATTAACCCTTTCTCTATCAGTTCGGCTGGCCTGTAAACACTGAAAAGTGATTTCATTTCCCATTTCCTTCTGAACAGCACCGTGCATTGCGGTATCCAAAAAAGGAAAACTTTTAGCGACGGTTGAATAAAATGCCTAACACATGCAAATTCATTGTCAAATAACGAAAGAGAGTGCATCAAGGAAAAGGCTCACTTCAGAGCTTTCGAAAACCAAAAAGCAATTTATAAACTGGTCGTCAACATCTGAAAGTGGTTTAAAAAAATCTATTCGGAATTTTACTGATGGCTGACAAAAGCCACTGGCAAACAGTCAAACTGAACTATTGTACAAAAAAAATCCTCCAGGGAACCTGGTATGCATTTGGGAGGTATATTGATCTGCGGATACAAACCATATATCTACATCTTATTTTATGTGTAATTAGGTATGTCAGCACTCTGCTAATGTACTGTTGCTAAAAATCATTAATTCCCCAATACCTAATGCCAACTTTATTCATTAACAGCCAATTACTTTTTTTTCTATGGATTGCCTGTCCAGCAATTTTGTGAATTTATGATGTACAGGTATAAATCTACTGTAATACTGATTATTTTCCATAAAACGACACATAGCTCTTAATGTACACCCGGAATACAAATCAAAATTTAAAATGCATATTTGTTACATTTTAATGTCGTGGTTTGCATTGAGGTTGATGGTCAGTCCTACAAACTGAAAATAAGAAATGTTACATTTTTTTTCCCACATGTGCGTAGAAATCCCAAATTTGTGGCGATAATCCTGAATTTTCAATCACGCTGTGGTCATTTGTAAAGGTGATAACCGCATAGAAAATAATGCACGAATCATCATCACAGACCATTTCAACTTGCCCGTACATCAAATGCATCACTTCCATAATGTGTGGTCTGCATTCATGTAGATTGTAAGAGGTATGGCCGGTACTATTGGAATTTCACAAACTACACCGCAGCAAGCAGAATTAAAAATTCCCATCCCCTCTCTTTCCCTCTCGCTCTCCCCCTGATCACAGATGTTGGCTTGAGCACAGCTTTATTTGGTTGAGAAAAGAGTCAAACTGGCAGCGCAAGTCCAAAAAGACATTCAGCCTGATATGCTTGCTCAGTGCGATCGCACGGCTGGAATACTCCCGAGTGTCAGCTAGTGCCGCAACTCAACCCCAAAGCCAGCTGCACCCGTGCGGAGCGAGCGGCTGAACTCTCCTACAAAAAGGAAGACACCGGGGACTGATTGACAAGTTCAATGCGCTCACCCTAACCCTGCCGAACAAAGCATCACATTCCTGTTTTCTTGTCATTCGACGCAATGAAATTATGACTTCCGAAAGAACAGTGTTAAACATTATCCTGGCTGCATCGCAATCATCCGAAGGCTCGCGTACACTCAGTTCCTCAAAGCAGTGTCGCCGAGGTTCCCAGAATCTCTTAAAAGTTCCGTCCTATTTTGCTTCAGTTCATCCTATTTTACAATTTCAGCAGGACTGACCAACCGCTTTGACTACAGATGCAGAATAAAAGCCAGGATACAAACTGCTAGAAGGTTACAAAACAGCAAATAGACACAGAGAAGATTTGGACGCACCGGCTACTAAGTAAACGGGGAAATATTTACGGTTTCGAAAATTGTTTAGACACTTTGCAACTTTACAAACTGCATCAGGCGAAGGGACACCGAATCGGGCATTAGAAAATGTCATGCATTAAAAAACAAACGACAAGCAGGCGTTGCTGTTGTGGATTTCGCTTAAATATATAAACACGCCCTTTCGTGAAATGTGCAGCACATCTCGATGTATCGGGTGAAAAATGTTACACTAGAACATTTGGGCCAAGCGAAGGAAATCAATATCACGTATTTCTGTTATAAAGCACATTCGTTTTTACAGCTCCCGTTTACACCATGTACATCTTCCATTTTGCTGATTAAAAAAACACTCTCAATTAGAAAGTTACTCCCTCTGAGCTTCCACTTAAGTATACAGCTTGAAAACAAATTCTAGATATTTCTCATTTTTTATATCCCACCTTTACACCACAAACACCACAAAAAAAATCTCTGGCAAAGACCTAACAAGACAAAATCTTCCCTAAGCCTCAATTTAGTGCCTGTGTACTCATTCCTGTTAATCCAAGTTAATTCTAGATAAACATGTTGAGTAAATGACCTGACCTTATTGTATGCAATACAGCTATGGTATATTTTTCATCAAATCAAATATGCTTTGACAATGTTAAAAGCCCTACCTTCAACCCTGGCATGAAAGAGGCACAACTAGAAACTGCATTGTACATAAACGTCTGATTTCCCGACTGACTCAGTAAAACAAATAAAACCACTTGTAAAGCATGAGATCCTCCAATTTCAAAACAATAATTCTCCTTTGTACCAACTTGTTAGTACAGAATAAGCAGAAATAATCCTTGATGACTCAAGTGCGCAGGGTTTAAATCTTGCCTTCGTCGTGAAACTTTTAAAAGCTCTTTTTGGATGTGGTCAATTGATGTGGTCAAGAGGAGAAGCCAGCAAATGACTCCTCTCCTTTTTTTTGCACATCTCTCGCTCTCTCTCTCTCTCTCCCCCACTCTGTCTCTCTCGCTCTCTTTCCCCATTTACTTCGCCCCCCACCCCACCCCCCACCGCAATTGTGCAGCTCCATTTGTGCAGAAGTGAGCAGGTTGCCCAGCGCCTGGGCAAAGCATGGTTGAAAGCCTTCAGAGAAGCAGCCCTTGACAACGGCCCGGCGCAGGCTTTGTTTGATCTTCCCTGCTTACTTAATCTGGGTTGTCAAGGTTCGCTTCTTACCAGGCTGTTTTCCTTTTACAGTGATTCTCTCAGACACTCGGTAATCCAAGATGAAGGCAGCTAAAAGAAAATTCAGCCAGTTTTTTCGCCCTTTTTTTTTTCAAAAAAAAAAAAAGGGGGCTCGAGGGGGTAAAAGGAGAGGGTGAATGAAACATTAAACTGACTTACGGCCTGAGAGACAATAAAGATGACCTGGAGTAAATAACAACAATTTGACTAGACTGAAAGCCAGTGCAAAGGGTCGTCAGAACAAGGGTCACAGGAGTTGACCCCCTTGGTATCCAGTCATTATTAGTTGTTTTTAAAAACAGCAAAACTCTCTCAAAACCCAGTACCTTGTTGCTACAGATGTTTTCTTCCTCAAGACTTCTCTGACAAGACACAAAACAGCTCATTGTTTGCCAGCAGCCACCAAGGGAGAGAGTGGGGAGGGGGTAAGAGAGAGAGAGAGAGAGAGAGAGAGAGAGAGAGCGATCAGGGGGAGTGAAGCATCCGCACTTTACTCAGCAAAGTGAAGACAATTCCAGCACAGAGGGGAGAGAGAGAGAGAGAGAGAAGGCAGAGTAACACTGGTGCTCAGTCAATATGTGCGACAGAGGGAATGAGGGAGGGAAAAGTTTATTTTTATTTAATATACCAAAAATAATACATTCGTGTCCAAGCTCAATGAATTGCCCCAGCGGTGTTTGCATTATTCGTGAGACGATGTGTCTTGAGGTGTTTCATCAGAGATTTATATATTATAATTAAGAAAAAAACACTTCAGGAAAAGTAACATCTGCTGCCTCCGCGCTCTCTCTCTCTCTCTCTGCCGGGTGCCAGAGGCCAAGTCTGACAGGAAAGTTTCAGGGAAGATTGGAAGGAAAAACATGGGACTTTGAATGAAGCGTGTTATTACCATAATAACAAAGAGACTCAACACCTCTCTCTCTCTCTCTCTCTTTCTATCTTTAACCCCTTCACCTCTCACGTGAAGGAATAAATGGTTAAAAATTCTTCAGTTGGCTTTTTTTCCTCTCCTTTTTTTAAAAAAAAAATCTTGACTTAAAACGTGAATGTAACTTTTGTCCTGAACTCAGCTCCCGGGAGTGGAGTTAAACTTGAGAGGGTCTCTCTTTCTCTCTCTCTCTCTCTCTGCAATGTCTTTCCTCTCTCACACCCCCTCTCCCTCCCTCCTGCAGAGCAGGACCGACCAGTCTCTCTCTCTCTCTCTCTCTCTCTCTCTATCTCTCCCTTCAAGTGTCCAGGGAGAAAGAGAGATAGAAAGAGAGACAGAGATGGGGGACGACAAGCCAGAAGCAGAAGTTTTTCGATTAGGAATAAACTCAATGGGGGGTGGGGGCGGGAGGAGAAAGGTGCAAATAGACAGACAGAGGGAGGGAGGGAGGGAGTGGGAGAGAGAGAGAGAGTGAGAGAGACTGGGACTCAAAATCTGACACCCAAAAGGAGGACTGTATGTGTGTGTGTGTGTGTGTGTGTGAGAGAGAGAATATGTGCTCCACTAACTTAACTAAACAATAAACTAATCCAGGGCACAGCTAGCCACCCACCCACCCACCCACCCACCCCGCCACCTATCCCCCCACCCCGCCACCCACACCCCCTTCCCCTTCCCTGAAAACTCAAGAATTTTCTCTACCTTTTTTTAAAAAAAATAACAATAATTATATTCGAAAAAACTTTTAAACGGCCAACAAACAGCAGGACGCAAGCAGCACCCACCCACCCACCCAGCACCTCACCAAGCACCCACCCACCCACCCAGCGCCCCACCTGTGGTTTTCACTGCTTCTCAAGGCAGTCAGTGTCGGTGTTTCTCAACCAGCCACCAAGCCCAGCCCAAGCCCAGCCAAGCCCAAGCCAAGCCCAAGCCCAGCCCAGCCCAAGCCCAAGGAAAGTGGAGCTCAAAGTCCGGCTCCAACACTCAAACTCAACTCCTTAAACTCCACTCCCCTAATAGTGAGACATAATTACACAGTCACACAGCCAACTGCACCCTGTGTTTCTGCTCTCTCTCTCTCCTTCTCTCTCTCCCCCCCCCACCCCCACCCGTCTCTTTCTCTCCCCCCCACCCCCCTCTCCTTCTCGCTCTCCCCCCCTTCTCCTTCACTCTCTCTCTCTCCTTCCCTCTTTCTCTCCCCCCTCTCCTTCTCACTCTCTCCCCCTCCGTCCTCTCTCTCTCTCCCCCCTTCTCCTTCTCTCTCTCTCCCCCCTTCTTCTCTCTCTCCACCCCCCCCCCCCCCGTCTCCTTCTCTCTTTCTCCCCCCCTTCTTCTCTCTCTCCACCCCCCCCTATCCTCTCTCTCTCCCCCCCGTCTCCTTCTCTCTTTCTCTCCCCCCTTCTCTCTCTCCCCCCTTCTACATCACACCTCCTTCACCAAAAAAAAAACCGCTCTCTCTTTCCCCCCCACCTCCAACACCCACTCTTCACCCCTTAAAAAAAACTCTCTCCCCCCCAAAAAAAAACCCTCCCACCACCAAACCATACAAATTCAACACAAAAAATAGAGACAGACAAACCGCCTTGAACTACCCTCCAGCTATTTTTCGTCTCTCTCTCTCTCCCCATCTCTTTCTCTCTTTTTCCCACTAACTCTTTCTATCTCTCTCTCTCTCTCTCTCTCTCTCTATATATATATATGTCTATTTTTCTCTCTATCGCTATCTTTCTATCTCTCTCTATCTCCCTCTATCTTTCTCTCTCTCTATCTTTCTCTCTATATCTCTCTCTGTCTTTCTCTCTATCCTTCTCTATCTTTCTCTCTCTATCTTTCTCTCTCTCTCTCTCTCTGTCTTTCTCTCTATCCTTCTCTCTCTATCTTTCTCTCTCTCTTTCTCTCTCTCTATCCTTCTCTCTCTCTCTCTATCTCTCTTTCTATCCTTCTCTCTCTCTATCTCTTTCTCTCTCTCTCTCTCTCTCTTTCTCTCTATCTCTCTCTCTATCTCTCTCTCTCCATCATTCTCTCTCAAAACTATTAATAACATAACAGGAGCAGATGCCAGGCTGCCGGCCTCACGCGTCTCTTTTTCTCTCTCTCTCTCTCTTTTTTTGATCCGTTTTTACTGTCACAAATCCTCTGACCTTCAGCGAAGGAGTGTGAAAAAAAAAGTAACGCGATTCCAACGGAGCTCTGGATTTTCGGTGCCCAGTCCGGGTGTGGGGGGTGTGGGGGTGGGGGGTGTGGGGGGTGTGGGGGGGGACACACACACACACAAAAACACCTCGTGGGTCTCTTTCCCCCCCACCTCAAAACAAAGCCCCCCCATAAAGTGACAAGTTGCACAGGAGTCTCTCTTAACCTCCTCCGTCTCTCTCTCTCTCTCTCCTCTCTCTCTTTCTATCCCTCCCTCCAATACGATTCCCACTGTGCGACTGCTTTTCCTCCCTTCTCTCTCTCTCTCTCTCTCCCTCTCTCTCTTGCCACTTTCTCTCTCTCTCTCTCCCCACTTTCTCTCTCTCTCTCTCCCTCTCTTGCCACTTTCTCTCTCTCCCCACTTTCTCTCTCTCCCTCTCTCTCTTACCACTTTCTCTCTCTCCCCACTTTCTCTCTCTCTCCCTCTCCCTCTCTTGCCACTTTCTCTCTCTCCCCACTTTCTCTCTCTCTCTCTCCCTCTCTCTTGCCACTTTCTCTCTCTCCCCACTTTCTCTCTCTCCCTCTCTCTCTTACCACTTTCTCTCTCTCCCCACTTTCTCTCTCTCCCTCTCTCTCTTACCACTTTCTCTCTCTCCCCACTTTCTCTCTCTCTCTCCCTCTCTTACCACTTTCTCTCTCTCCCCACTTTCTCTCTCTCCCTCTCTTGCCACTTTCTCTCTCTCCCCACTTTCTCTCTCTCTCTCTCCCTCTCTCTTCCATGCAGCAATGCTGCGATCCTTTAAGGACACAGACCCTTCATCCCTCCCTCCCTCCCTCCCTCCCTCTGTCAGGTCTGCGCTAAAGATCTCCCGACCTGTTTGCCCGTCTCGCTTGTGCGGTGGTGTCTGTGTGTGTGTGTGTGTGTGTGTGAAGGAGGGAAGGAAGGAAGAAAGAGAGAGAGAGAAGAGAGCGAAAAACTCCTTAAAAGAAACCGCACTCAACACTCAACTCTCCTACAAACTGATGGCACAACACATCACTGATAGAAGCGCTTCTCCCCCACACACCCCCTCTCTCCCCCATTCCCCCCTCTCTCCCCCATTCCCCCCTCTCTCTGTTACCTTCCATGGACAGTCACACCAAACCCCCTTTTTATTACAGTGTCACTTATTTATCTGCGATTCCAAGAGAAAACCAACAACATCTCTCTCTCTCTCACACACACACTCACACTCTCTCTCTCTCTCTCTCTCTCGTCTCTCTCCAACAAATCACAATCCCCTCTTTTTGGCGGGTTTCACCGAGTGCGTTTGCCAAAAGGTAGATACGAAGGTCC